AAGTTGAATTTGAACCACATTATTGCTAACCCATTGTGAGGCTTAGCCTACTCCCCTACCCCTTAGTGTAGATAATATCAGTTGTTAAAAAAAAAAAAAATTACATAATATACAATTTATGCTATGAATAAAAGAAAACACAACTTAAGCAGAATCTATAATTCGTAACGTGAAGCCGGGTTCATGCATTATGTAATGGTTCATGCAATCACGCTAAAAAAATATCGACAATCAAGACCCGTGTTTTAAAGGAACCTGGATTGCGATGATGTGAAGGAATTTTTAGGAGTTCTTCCTTCAATTTTGGATTTCCATTTTCAGAGTGATGTATCATGTTCAACACAAAAAAAATAATAAAATAAAAAATATCAATAAAAGCATATGAACTCAATAAAATAAAATAAAGTTTAATCATAATAATAATGATTGAAACGGAATGTCCCCTGATTAAAGATGGACAACTTCTCTTTAGTGCAATGTCAAAAGCGTAATGATAACATGTTGTGACCTATTTTAAGAATTTATGTGCGTTATTCTTCAGACCTTGTGCCTTTATTTATTGTAATAAGTAGGGGTGGATTTTTTTGCCAAATTGTCGTGCCAACCATGCCATACCGATTTTGTGACAATTGGTAATAGTATGGTATTGTACCGTACTGTACCGAAAATATAAATATAATATATAATTTATAGATTATATAATATATAATTATATTAACACATATTTATAATATTCCATTGCTTGATTTGTATAATGAGTTTAGGAGATTAAAAAATGATTGCTTGATTTGTATAATGAGTATAGGATGGGTTCTTTTACTACCACTAGGGCTTCTTTGGAAGATGTGGAACTAAATGTGGAGTACATAATTCAAGCTCAAGGGGGTGATGAGAACAAAATTGAAATGATGAAGGAGCTTATACAAGAAAGGAGGGAGCAACACCTTTTGGAGATATCCGATGAAGTTGATAAGTACTTCACCACTTCTTATATTAGCATTGTTGTTGGTGGCTTTGATCTCTTGAGTTTGTAGAAATTAAACAAAAAAGAGTTCCCAATTCTTACAGAAATAGCCAAGAATATCTTTACAATCCTCACTTCTACCGTTGCTAGTGAAAATGCATTTAGCCTAGGAAGGAAGGTTGTGAACCCTTTTAGGGCATCATTGACTCCTAAAATGATAGAGGAACTAAAGTGTACTAGTGATAGGCTTAACACAAGCTCAATCTTCTACAAGTTCAATGCCTCCTCCAAAAGCTTCGACATCTCAAACTTGAATAATTGTTCAATGGATTTTACTTTTTGAAGTTTAGTTCCAATTTTCATTTGGTTTGAAACTTTAGCTTCTATTTATTTTGGTTTGTAACTTCTATTTAGATTGTAAGCTTAATTTTCATCATGAATCTTGATGCTTCATTTGAATTATTGTGTGTGTGAATTCTAAATGATAATTAACAGATGAATTTAGGTCACAATGTATGAGATAAAGGTACAAAAAAATGTTTTGCCCTTCAATTGGGTTAAAAAAGAAAAATAGATTTTGTCCATAACAAAGTGGCAATTACCATTGTCATATCATGCTAACCGAACTATTTGGCAATACCAAACTTCGGTATACTGAAAGTTTGGTAAGATAATGGTAATAGATTTTGCTAAACCAAAAATTTGGTACGGTAATTGGTAGGAGAGTTTTGGTACGGTAACCATACCGAACCCATCCCTAACTATTGCTATAAATAAAAAACACCATCATCATTGAAACAAGTCAGAAGAAAAAGAACAAGTGAATATATAAAAATGGGGACATAGTCACGCACATAATCATTCGACAAGTGGATACAATACGATTTAAGATCCCAAATCCATCAAGCAATGAATCTGCAGCACGCCAAGGAATGTCTAAGATAGCTAAGGAAGAGAGGGCGCGAGGTGAAGAGATCTGTAGCAAAGGGAAGTTTTGACATACAAGAGAGTGATTGAGCATGAGATTTGGGGCAAGATAGGAGTGCAAAATTAGATATGATAGCAAGATGATGAGTATGGGTGAGCGCAAGCCAGAGCTAGTTGGGGATTGAGGGTTCGCCCGAGTCTTTGACATCTTATGCTGCCAAAGTGAAGAGGTTGTCCGAGTCTGTAACATCTTGTGCAGCCGAAGTGAACTCAACTTCCTCTAGTGCTTATGCTTTATTGAAGTCTTGGGGCTGTAAATGGTTTCATGTTTTCCTAACTCAATAGCCCACTTGGTAACTCTGGATGATGCATCGGGGTTGTGCAAGATGGATTGCAGCAGGTACTCTGTCATGTAGATTACTCTGAACGATTGGAAGTATGGTTGAAGCTTTATGGCCAGAGTCACTAGTGCAAGGATGAATTTTTACATTTTCTTGGTATATTGCCTCTGGTTCGAGAAGAGCTTTTAACATGTAGTACACAGGTTTCTGCTCCCTCGAGTCTTCTCGAATAAGAGTCGTGCTTACTGCGCTGTCTGATACTGCCAGGTATAGGTACAAATCTTCTCCGCGGGGTTTGGATAGGTACTCTTTTAGGTTCGTAAAGGCATCTTCACACTCATTTGTCCAAAGCAGGACTTTACTCTTTTCTATCGCGGTGAAGAATGGTTTGCACTTATCGATGGATCTTGAGAAGAACCTGCTGTGGGTCGAGTTTTTCGACAAAGGTGTCTCGACTGTGGGTCGAGTTTCAAAGTTGAATCCTTGCAAGATTCGTCTGGAATCTTATCTTTCCATGATGAAAACGTCTCCTCAAAGATGAAAGATGACTTGTAGGTCGTCAGAGGAAGTTGCATGAGTCATCAGGGAGCTCGGTGGCGCAGCTCCAGCGTGAGCTGCATGCTCAAGCGCTGGATCTTAATTCAAGACGTAGCCTAAAATTTTCATGTTGCAAGGCCCATCACAACTCCCTTTTTTTCTATGTTTTTTCTTTCCTTTTTTACCATGTTTATTCACATATATTCAATTTACGTAATTTACATAGTATACAACCACTTAGTTCCACGACCTAATGATATTTCTCTTCCCCTGTAAATAAGAGGTATTAGGTTTGATTCTCGTCAAAATTGAATTTGAACCACATTATTGCTAGCCTATTGTGAGGCTTACTCCCCCCCCCCCCAAAAACCCCCCCAAAAAACAAAAAAACTAGTGTAGATAATATTCGTTGTTAAAAAAAAAATTTACATAATATACAATTTATGCTATGAATAAAAGAAAACACAACTTTAGCATAATCTATAATTCGTAAAGTGAAAAGTCGGGTTCATGCAATCAGGCTAAAAAAATATCAACAATCAAGACCCATGTTTTAAAAGAACCTAGATTGAGATGATAAATATTGTGAAGGATTTGTAGGAGTTCTTCCTTCAATTTTGGATTTCCATTTTTAGAGTGTTGTATCCTGTTCAACACACACACACACACAAAAAAAATAAAATAAATAAAATAATTTAATAGAAGCATATGAATTCAATAAAATAAAAAATTATAATTGTAATAATAATGATTGAAACGGAATATCCCCTAATTAAAGATGAACAACTTCTCTTTAATGCAGTGTCAAAAGCATGATAATAACGTGTTGTGATCTATTTTAAGAATTTGTGTATTATTCTTCAGACCTTGTGCCTTTATTTAGTAATAACTAATAAGACGAAGATAAAACCTGCTTTCCAAGTAATACAAAGTGTAATAAGAAAGATCTTCTAGAACACAATTACATTATGTTAAATATAATTACATTCACATTATTCACACCCCTTTTTTTATAAAAACAAAAAATTCATTTCGTATTATTCACACCTTCCACCACACATCCCGTTTGGCTTAGGGAAATTTTATTTGAACTCATATAACTTCTTTTTACACCCAACTTACTCTCTACGCCCATATTAGTTCTAATTAAAGAATAAATCTCTCTTTAAACCCAAATTTACTACCTAAACTACCCCATAAATCCAATTCAATATATAAATTCATTCTTAAATAATCAATCTCTTTTAAGCCTATTGTTTTATTTGTCATGGCAACCAATTGTTATAGATGGATTGATCAGTAGTATCAATTTGTTTTACAACTTTTTCAACGTTGCCAGTTTATAGTGCAAGGCTGCTAGGAAATGATATTTGCCAAGCTCTTAATAGAGTAGTCCAGGTAGTTAATTTGAATGTGATTCGCGAAATTGAGTGATGCATTTCTAAGTCAAGATTAAACGGTTCAGTAGCAGCTAGGCAAGCAGTTGAACTGGTGCTTTTGGAGTTTGAATCATGTAAAATTATGTGGACACCTTAATGAAAGTAAATTTCAGTAGAATTTCTCATCACATTTTCTTGAAAGATCACGTCAGTAATTTTATTGGAGTGATATGTGTTGCTTTTACAGGCATACCTAATTGAATTGGAAGTTGAACTTAACCAATTACGAGATGAGTTCCTTAAGCAAGCGCTGGTAATGACATGAAACACATTTCGATGTGCTGAAAGCTTGTTACTCTTTTTGTTTCTTGTGATGATATGGCTTGTAATTATTGCTCTTGTTGATCGAGTTAACATGAAGCTAGAGAGGAAACAAAAGCAATCAGGCTTGATTATTAGGTGATGGTAGGTTTTATGACTGCTCTTAGGATTTAAGTGAGAAGGAACATAGGATAACATTGTGGAGTTTGATTATTAAATGTGAGTTTATTGATAAATTTTAAATTTATTGTTAATTTTATTTTGTAGTTGATAATAATTTTGCAATATAATAAAATAGACAATTCAAATATAAAATTTAAGTTTGGTATAGAAGAAGATTATAAATGACAGACAAAGTTTGTCCGACCATCAACGGTCAACCCGTCCATTTTCCCCACTTCCAAGACAAAGCAAAGTGTTTGTCATTACACTTCCACGTGTGGGATTACAAAAGCACCTACGTGTCAATCTAGTATCCCTCCACGTGTGGGCCCGCAAATCATCACATTCCACTCCTTTGGATAGTAGCCAATTCTCTGCTTTGAGTCCCCCGTATGCTCTGTGTTACTATTCGCTTTCTCTTCCGACGAAATCTCACCGTCACCACTTCATCTGCTTCTCAGCTTCTGCAAAAGCACTTCTCGGCCGATTCCCGGTAGACCCTTTTGCGGTCGTCGCAGATTTCGCTGCTTTCGCCGTCGATCAAGGTAGAGCCCGGTTTCGTCAACTTTCCGATTGAATCGTACAATGGCTAGCCAGTCCGAGAGTAAATCCATCCACGACTTCACTGTCAAGGTTGGCTTTTCACGAATTTTGATTATTTTCATTTTTCGATTGGGATTGGGGATTTTTGTTTGGTTAGAAGCTGGGTTTTTGCGTATAGTTCTCCATTAAATTGAAAATGAAAATGTTAGGGATCAAATTTTTAAATTAAATTTTGTAAAATAAATAACATAGATGTTGATGGTTAGATTATTACGTAAGTGTTGATTAATGTGCTTATATCCTTTGAATGACACACATCATTTAATTTACAAATTTAGATATAGATTATAACAAGTATTGATTAACGTACTTATATAATCACATTCCATTTAGTTTGCAAATTTGATTTAAAATTTTAGTTTTCTGGCATTACTGTTTCGAAAATAGTGTTGTTAAAAAGAAAAACTGATGTCATGAATGCTTAAGTTTTCCCCAGTTTGTTAGAATTTGGGTGGTTTATGATAATGTCCATGCTTTAATTTAATTTGCGTTTAATTTAGCAGGTTAGAATTTGGGTTCTAATTGTAAGGGGTGGATAGCCCTTGTCGGCCTTCCTTTTCAATCTAGTGCGTCCCGCGATCAAACCATCCCCACTCTCTCTTAGTGTAGTTTATTGTAGAATACGCTTTTAATAATAAAACCAAACAGAAAGGAATTTGAGTTCTAATTATCTTCCTTATAATTGAAATTTTAGTAGTTTTGTATTGACCCTTTGGAGCCAACCACTGTAGCTTATTTCAGTTTTGATCCCCAAAAATTGGTGGGTTTAATTTGCAAGGTGATGTGGTATAGGGGCTGCAGGTTAGCAAATCTAAACCAAACTTCATCCCAAATCCAATAATTGAATACATATAATGTGTCCGTTTACTCGCAGGATGCCAAGGGTAACGATGTTGATCTTAGCACCTACAAAGGGAAGGTCCTGATGATCGTCAACGTCGCATCGCAGTGGTACACAATATCTTCTATTTTCTTTCAAGTTTTTACGTGCATTCCATACTAAAATACTAAAAGAAAGAAAATCTGATAAGGATGGTTATATTCTCATAAAATGGGATGCATTATCAGCCAACGTTGTTTGTCTTTGTCTGAAGTGTGAGCTTATTATAGTTTGCTATTTAATTTTGATGCAGTGGCTTGACTAATTCAAACTACACAGAGCTAGCTCAGTTGTATGAAAAATACAAAACTCAAGGTCTGCTTTTGTGAATCTTTTATTACGTATGCATGTTTGTACTGCACCCCATGGCTGTTTTCATAGAAACTCCCTATCGTTTGGTTGCCTTGTAGGCTTGTAGCTCACACTTGCTTCTGTTGCCTTGCAGGATTGGAAATCTTGGCATTCCCGTGCAATCAGTTTGGAGCTCAGGAGCCGGGGACAAATGATGAGATTGTAGAGTTTGCTTGCACTCGCTTTAAGGCCGAGTATCCCATCTTTGATAAGGTAAGAGTTTCTTAGGATGTCATTTCCAATATGAACAAACAGCGAAAGCGTCTTTCATGGAGTTGTGTTATTTTCTAGAGCTGGAGATTTACAAACAACAAATTTTAGGTGGATGTGAATGGTGAGAAAGCTGCTCCGATTTACAAGTACTTGAAGTCGAGCAAGGGTGGACTCTTTGGCGACAACATCAAGTGGAACTTCTCCAAGTTCCTAGTTGACAAAGAAGGGAAAGTCGTTGAACGTTATGCTCCTACAACTTCTCCTCTTAACATTGAGGTAAGAAATCATACATTCATGACAGTTGCATTGAAGTGAAAAAGTGAATTAGGATAACGAAATTGCGGTTTGTTGTTTCCTTTTTGTTTTGCAGAAGGATGTAAAGAAACTGTTGGGGGTCGCATGAACAGGCAGCTCTCTATGAAGAAATGAGAGGGAGTAAATTAGTTGAGGAATAAAAGGCACTTGCTGTAATAAGAATGCATCTCTTTGTCTTGTTCAACATTTTGTAAGGGTTGCACTCTGTTGATGTTTCAAGGAAGTATAACTTTCAAAAAACAGTCGGAATTCAGACCGGTTGAGGGTCTGTGTTTTCAAATTTTAGCTTCAAGATTTGAGTTAGGCTAGTCAAATCAAGCACTATATATATATATGTATGTCTTTAGAAAACCTCGACGGTACAAAGGTAATTTTATTGATAACAAAAATGAAGTTACTCATAATACAAGAAAAAATGATAAAAAAAAAAAAAAAATGAAAAAGAAGAGGGACATAAATCTTACCTTTCTAGAATCGAAAACAATAAGATACAAGAAAAGAAGGGGGGCATGAAATTTAACCCCTTTAATGGGAAACATAAAAGTCTAAACCTACAAAACAAGTTAAGAAACATCACAAGGTTGAGAGAAAAAAAAAAAAAAAGCGAGTCAAACGTGTATGCTGATATGCAAATTAATTTAGCGATAGCCAAGAAAGCAAGCATAGTTTGAAAACAAAGTAGCATGAGCTGAGCCAATCTTAGCAAAATTGTCTACAACAACATTTCCTTCGCGATATATGTGAGAGACCTAGAAAGTCATATTCCGAATGCGGTCCAAACAAATAGACCATTGCGTACAAAGAGGCCAAGAGGATCAAAATCGGTTGATTGGAAAGCAGAAATAACAGTAGAATAATCACTTTCCAACCAAAGACAATGCCAACCCTGCTAATATGCAAATTCTACACCAATCATAATTGCTGATAATTCTGCAAAGAAAGAGTTGCAATGGCCAATCCCTTGGATAAAACCACCAAGAAATTAACCATGGCAATCCCTGAAAACTCGTCCACAAGTAGCAAGATCGGGATTTCCTATGACAAACAATATGTATTAAGTCTAATCCAAGGAACCAAGAAGAAGACCAAAGCACATGAAAAATTATTGGTGCCTTACAAGGGATAGGCTAGATCCTCAAAGAAGAAATGATACAAGTGTCAAAACTATAATAATAACCAGGAATCAATTTCCCACCATGAATGACCCCATAATTGATAGACATGCAAAGATGACGAAAATAGATTGGGCGACCCTGAGCGTTCCAAATAGCCTAAATAGTAGAAAGACCCGCAAATCCCAGAGATTGTCCAACTGCTGGGAAAATGGCTTACGTACGTAGGCATGCCAAAAACAACCAAAGAATCTGAAAAAGATAAAGAGGTACCAAATTGACATGCTTAACCACCTCTAAAGCTGCCTAGATATCCAACAATCGAAGACAAGATTACAATAGATTCCTCAGATTAAGACATAAACAACAAATGGACGCTAAAGAAATACGACGTCGTTGAAGTGCACCTTCGGTAAAAAGTTTATCATGAAGAAGCTGCCAAGCCAAAATAGACAGTCAAGGTGGGATAAAATGTCGCCAAATAACCTTAGCTCAAGCACAATCACTATGTTTTTGTCGAATAACATGATAGGCAAAAGAAAAGGAAAATTTCCCAGTAGATGTAGGCTCCCAAATCAATTTGTCATCCTTTATATTTAAAGGCAAAGGTAGACATAGAATCTGCTGCACTACAAAAGGGAATAAATTTACAAAATAATCTGGTAAAGACCAACTTTGTTCTTCAATAACTTTTGAAGCCCTAGGAAGAATTGTAGGTGACATGAACGAAGATAATGAAGGGCCATTAATCAGGTTATCCAACCATTTGTCGAACCAAAAGGAAACTGACTTCCCATCACCAATAACCCAACGACTATTATTATTCAGAATAGGAAAAACAAGCTTCAACCCGTGCCACATAGAAGATCGTAAATAAATATCTTGTTTTTTAACTCGACGTCCGTTGAAGTGCACTAAACCCTAATATACATGAACAACTTAGCATTGTTTAGGGAGCTTAGAGTTCCTCATATGTTTTCTATAGAAGTTTTCCCAAATCATGAATTAGAAAGTTTGGTCCAATAGACCCTCAGCAGCATTGTTGAGAAAGTCAACATGCTTAGATTAGAATCCAATCAACGTTAATTTGAGCAAATATGTTGGAATGATTACCTTCTCACTTAGTGTTAATTGTATCAATAGCCAGATATTAATTTCATGCTTTGTATCAATTGTATTATAGTAGGAATCAATCAAAGAAATTAAACCATATTAAATTTAATTAGTATCTTCCAGGATGCAGAATTTGCCATAAGACAACAACCATGGACGAATCAATCAATATTGGAGCTACCCAAGTCAAACAAGGCAGACTACTAAATGGTTCACTATCAGAGTTTCCTACCTATAGTATACAGCTCATAGTTGGTCTAGCTTTAGCTTGACAAATAATTGAGACAGAGAAAAAAAAAAGAGAAAAGAATGGCTAGTCTTAGCCCACCCCCTGGATCATTTTATGACTTCACTGTCAAGGTAAATCCTTTCTATCCTCAATTACTTTATGATAAATTTTCTTAATTTGTTGCAGATTGCTGGTTTATTTCTTTTTGCATAATATGAGCGATATAACTACTCTAGTCTAAATACATTAAGGGGGGAGAGGAGGAGGAGGAGGAGGAGGAGGAGGAGGGGGATGGTTTGAACATCGAGATGTAGTTGATTAAAGATGAATGGCCTAATCACTTGGTCAATTCACCCGGTAATGAACCATTTGCAAAGATCAGTAGTTTCTTGAGTAAAGTAATTATGTGGTTTGAACTTCGAGACGCAGTTGATTAAAGATGAACAGCCTAAGCACCAGGTCAATCCACCCGGTAATCTACCACTTGCAGAAGATCAGTAGTTTCTTGAATAAAGTGATTATGTTGAATGTATTCACAATCAAAACAATAAGCATATGGGAATTCGGTATTTATTTTTGGCATGTCTTGAGAATTTTCCTTCGCCTGTTCGGATGACAAGAAAAAAAATCATACCTGAAAGGTTAAAAGTTTAAACAAATATATATTGGGAACAGAAGAAATGTTATTTTGTATTGAACCTTTGTTGGAGATTCAGCTGAGAAATGTGATTTGTTTGTCTTGATCTTGTACTTCTTGTGATGGGGTTTTAATTTGTGTAAGTGCAGGATGTTAAGGGAAATGATGTCGATCTTAGCATTTACAAGGGAAAAGTTCTGCTGGTCATCAATGTTGCTTCCAAATGGTATATACACCCCCTTGTTTTCATCCCTAGCCGTGTTTTTTTCATTTTATTCTTTGATTCAGTTGCTCTTTTTCAATGATTTTCCCGCAGTGGACTGACCAACTCAAATTACGATGAGCTGAATGAACTGTATCGAAAGTATAAAGATCAAGGTTTGCATTTTGAACTTGTATGGTTTTCTTACATGTTCTTGAGCTGATATCTATGTAGTTACTTCTCCTACAAGTTGAGTTCTGACTGCCCCTCTGTGATACATGCTAATCTGCTGCTTGTTCGAAAACTTTCAAATTAATATATTGCATATGCAATGATCTAATTTTTGTTAGAAAAACATGAATTCCCTCAAAAATTTTGTTGAAATTCTTCCTTTTTCCATTACTTTTCACCTTTGTATGATATATTACGAGGTTGATACAGGCTTTGAGATTCTGGCATTTCCGTGCAACCAGTTTGATGATCAGGAACCAGGAAGTAACAAAGAGATTGAAGATTTTGTCTGCACTCGGTTCAAATCGGAGTTTCCCATTTTTGACAAGGTAGATCCAGAAAAGTAGATTATGTTGTATGATTGTTTCTAATTTTCCATTAGCTCACGTTCGTAAAACGATGAAGAGCGGATGGTGGTTGAAGATCTTTGTGTCTACAAGTTTAAGTTCCAACTTTCAAGGATTTCAAAGTCGATACATTTAGGCTATTGAAACCTTAATAGCTGAAATTTAAAAAAAAAAACCTATCTAATGAATAATGAGTGCTCATTTTAATTCTATTTGAACTCTTGCAAATTAGAACTTTCACATGCGTTTTTCCCTACGGATATTTCAACTGCATCTAAGAGCTAGGATGGTATTGCACTGTTCTAAAAATCCCTGCCTAGGCGCTAGGCGACTGGCCACCATCCCGATTAATGTCTAAGCATTTGAAAATTAAGATAAGGCACCTAGACTTGATGAGGCACCTGCATAGACCGTATAGGCACCCACCTAGGCCGCCAAACCCACCTAGGCACTCACTTAGGTTGCGACTCACTTAGATAGAAAATAGATAACTTTCATTTTGTATTTTTATTTTTTTCAGTAAATTATAAAAGACTTGCTGAATGGTTAAATAAATACTCATTATATGCTTGTTCCCCATGTTTTCATTATGTTCCAATACTTCATAATATATATGTCACTCTATTTTGTAGTTTATGATGAAATTATATATATTTTAAGTATAAACATACACATATTTACATGAAATATAATATATTTACTTAAATCTGCCTAGTCCACCTAGCCGCCCACCTAGACCCTACCTAGCCGCCTAAGCGCTAGGCCCCAGCCCGCCGCCCAACTAGCACCTAGCGTCTTTAGAACCTTGTGGTATTGCAATAATGTTAGATCTTTCTTTCTGAATCCGCCCTTGTTCTTGTGTTAGATTGAAGTAAACGGAGATAATACTGCTCCAGTGTACAAGTTCTTGAAGGAAGGCATGTGGGGATTCTTTGGAGACGATATTCAGTGGAACTTTACCAAGTTTCTAGTTGACAAAGAAGGAGAAGCGTCTCACCGCTATTATCCAAGCACACCCCCCCTTAGCATCGAGGTCTGTTTCTCAAATTTAATCATGTTATGCTGGCTCTGTTGTTTATTAGTGATTGATCATCTCGATTCATCTGTAGATTTGTCAATTTTTCTAGCCTTTTGACATACATTTTCCACAGCGTGACATCAAGACACTGTTGGGAATTGCGTAAGTAGCTCAGATGTGAAGATTTCAACATATGCTTTCCTTTTGCGTACACTGGAATAAAAGTTCAAGCTTGCTTTGTGTATGTATATTATATCAGAAGGCTTGTTAAGGATGGAGGCATGGTGCTAATTAATAAAACATTAAGCAGTTGCAATCCCTGCTTGTTTCTTAAACTTGATTAAAGCATTTCTGTTCCTTGTGGGATGATGGAAAATGTTTTAATTGGCAGTCAGG